AATTTAAAAAAAAAAAAGTTCATATTAACATCAATTTCATAAGGAAGTAGAATCAAATCATAAATCTGTTTTTTCCTTAATTAGTTAGCATGTAAATTAAACCCAGCCATTACCTCAGAAAAACAATGGTCCATTCCTATTTGTCAGAATAGAGAAAGAAAAATATATATCAAAATGCACTTTTTGGTTTTAAGGAAAGGAAAAAAAGAAAAGACAGAGGAGGCTATAATACTCATGTGTTTAACGTTTCTTTCAGTGAAATAGAAGTGCTATAAGCTTGGATGTGCAGGTTGTGTAATGGATAGCAGCTTGGAATTGGAAATCAGAGAGCCAGGTTTCAATTCCAGTTGCGTTAGTTATATTTACTCATGTGCAAATACTATTGGGAAAAGGAATACACCTCTTCCCACCCAACTATGGGTTAATTAGTAGGACTTGTATCAGTAAATCATTATTATCTCTAAAATAATTCTTAGAATATAAAAATATTTTCTGGCTTTAAATAATCTGCAAATGGTTGATAAGCTGTAGAAAACAAATCACTAAGTGAAATGGAAAACTTTATCAATTTTGAATCTTTTCATTTGTAACTTCTTACTTCTTTAAATAATGATCTGCATTCATATTTATGATTGCTATTGCAATATTTTGTTTAAAGTTGTTAAGCTCAAATATTTAATGATGATATAGGGGAATTTCCATGAATATTTTATAACCATAGAACTCATAAGGAGCTTACTCAATCATTAACTTAATTAAAATTCATCAGAAAATAGGAAAACCATGAAATTTTCATGGGTATTGCTAGTTGAAATAAATCGAGAACACCTCATAAAGAACAATTACATGAAACTTAATCAATGCAAATGCATCAGAAGTCAAGGTTTCAAAAACAAACTGAAGTTGGTATCCAAGGCAATTATTGTGCATATAACAAATATTATGATTTTACACCAGGCTTTTCTTCAAACTAACTTACGTGGCTATTATTTAAAATGGCAATAAAAAGGTAACAACAATGAACATTGCCAAAAGCAATCAAATGTTGAACAATGCAGCAGGCATGTTGCCAACTTGGTTTTGATGTTTGTTGTTTAAGTTTTATGATAAAAAGTAGATTTTATAATGACTACTAATAACTGATCAGCCTTAAGAAATGTTTTCTATGTGCAATACTGTATGAATGATCATTTGAAAATTCCTATTCCTCAGTACAATTCCTCTGTAGAATATAGAACCACGGTCCCACGACACTACTGTCGTTTCTGTAGCAAGTATTTTTTTTTTTTTTTACCAGGTGGGTTTGCCAGCCTCATGGCCAACCAATTTTGAATAATAGAGTTGTCCTTCTCTTAGATAATGTCAACCAAGGTTAGATTGATTTGGTTTGTTTTATGCCATATCAACCACAATGGTTTATTTATTGCTGGCAATTTTTTCTTCAAAAATGTATTGCTGGTTAATATATTTTCTTCAAACAAGTATCACTGGTAATATTTTTTTTCAAAAATGTATTCTGGCAATGATCTTTCATAATGTATATCTGGTATTAAAAATTTTTTACACTTTCATAGTGTCTTGACCCCAATTTGGGGGTTAACTATTTGTCCATAGTTGGGACCCTAACAAGTGCTACCACCCTGGGTCAGGGTGGATCTGGAACACCAGCAATTAAAAGGTAGTCTCATGCTCCTCAAAATCTCCTGATCAGAGGCCTTGCTGCTGGATGTAGTTTATCGTCTTACGTAGGATGTTGATGTAGTTTATTGTCATACCCAGGATGGATCAAGTTTAAAAAGAGCAATCTGCCTCAATATTTTGCTTATAGCAGTGGGTGGGGAGAGAAGAGATGGATTCATAACTTTCCCAAGTTTATTTGTGTGAAAGTGAACACAACAAATTCAGCATACAGATTCCACCTTCTATGCTGATAACAACTGAGCTATGTACATATCCATACTTGAAAATACCAGACATGAAAAAAACATTCAGAGTACAATATTAGCTACTGATCACAAATATAAACACATTAAGAGTAAGTGTGATATGTATGTAAATTAATTGATAGGTTTGAAGCCTGTTATATAGGAATAAAGTGTTGCTGCCGACACTTGAGTTTGAACATAGCTCACCAGAGAGTAAACACAGGTGATCCCATTATTGAATTAAGTGGATCATGTGACCATAGAGGAAATGCATATATAGGAAATCATGTGACGTCTAAATGATCTGCATTTCTAGCCTATCCTCTATTACTATATGAACCGCTATTTTCTACTCTATTCACTATACTATTTCTCTATTCTAGTGAGTATTATCGTGTGAATGCTAGTCAAAGGCATCTGTCACCAGCATTGTTCAATGGAGTAGTATTGTTGTATCGGCGATTACCAAGTCCCTACTATAATGAACGTTATGAAAGTGACGAGTATTCATTGACATCACAAGAAAGTCTAATGATGAAAAATATTTATTTTACATATTTTCAATAATCTCCTTTGTCAATGCACACACAAAATAATATAATCTGATAGTAATTATTCATGCTTTTATTGAAGACCATAGACTTATTATTTTAACAATTTTCACTCATTTCCATACAAAATAATGTAGGCTTGGATCTAGAAATTGTTTTTACGTATATGTTCTAACTCTTTCAACCATCATTGGTCATTTTCAAGAATATGAATTGTGTGATGTTATGCTTTTACAATTCAAGAAAACCTTTGATGTGCCTTTTTATCATTTGATATTTAGAATGTAATAAATTGAAATCATTTCTGTCAGTGTTGATGTAATTTTCGAACCATTTACAATACATGTCAAACTGTCTGCAACATTGTGGAAATTGAACATGTATATTTATATATTATTGAGTATATTTGATAATTCCTTGGCTGAAAAATGTTTTATTTCATGTAGTTTTTTAAAATAATTTCTAGCCTGAAATTTTTTTCATTTCATGTAGTATTTTGAATAATTCTTCATCTGAGAAATGTTTTATTTCAAGTAAGATTTTATGATTATGGCTTGAAGTATTTGTTGTTTAATTTTGCAATATATTGTATATCTATATTGTCTACAAAAGCTCATATCAAATAATGCTGCATACAAGATCACTAATATTCCCACTAATATTCAGCAGATGCTTGGAGATATTTGTTATCTTGTGTGAAAAAGAAGATTACTAAACAGTTCCATCCTGGGTATGATGATAAACTAAATCCAGCAGCAAGTCCTCTGATCAGGATGTCTTCAGGAGTGTAGAACCACCTGTTAATTCCTGTTATTCCCAGATCCACCCTGCCCTGGGGTGATAGCACCTGTTAGGGTCCCAACTACGAGTAAATAGTTAAACCCCAAACTGAGGTCAAAAACACAATGAAAGAATAAAAATTTTTATAGCAAAAATACCAGCAATACATTTTCATAGTAAAAGAATTACCAGCAATATATTTTTGTAACAAATATATATATCAGCAATACATTTTGTTTTTGTCAAAGAAATTATCAATGCTTCCAAGAAAATTAAATTTCGGCATTAAATGACACATATGGAGTTGATATGTCACTAAACAAACAAGCAACTAAGCATTTGTTAAAACAAACCTTGTTTGCAGTTGTGAGTGATGGATAATTAAATCTACAGCCTAACTGATGGAAAAAATCATTTATTATGCACAAATATTTATTTTTCAACATCATTCTTTTCCAGTGCACTTCAACCAACAATTCTGTTAATCACATCAATGAAATATTATACAGTGAGAATTTCATATCACAATTCACCAAATAGTGGTGTCAGGATACAAACATATTCATGAACACTCATAGTTGGAAATCCTGTAACAATTTCCATCATTTCCTGCACTGTCTTCAAGAATGTGGAGTGGGGTGGCTCTCATCTCTGTCTCAATATCAATTCATCAGCATCCTTAGTGTCATCAGCAAACTCATCAGTAATAAGGTTAATGATCACCTCAACAGAAACAACCTCTTAAGTGACAAGCAGTATGGATTTCACTTCTCTCGGTTCACTGCTAATATCCTGTCATTACAAAGAGAATCAGTGAGGCACTTGAAATTAAATCCATGATCACAAGATATCTGAAAGACCTTTAATAAAGTATGGCATAAGGAGTTACTACACAGACTCTCCTACATTTGTAACTGGACTTTAGGTTTGTCACAAATTTTTATAACAGCTTTCAAAAGGTTTACTGTTGACTAAACCATCCATATATAGGATACTGTTGATGAGGACAATATTGAATTTAAGTTAATATTAAACACTTTCTATCAAATGTGTTTAGATTATTGTTAGCTTAGAATTGTAAGTAATTCTGAAATACAAGAAACCACATAGTATAAGTTGCTATAGGCAAAGTTCAAACTTATATAAAATAAATTTATAAAAGCCTTACAAGTAAACAGAGACTGCCATCACTCATAAGTATACCACACACTATTATAAATCCTTACTAGTGGTGATCTGTAGACTAATCTACTTATATAGAGAAGTGCAACTGCAATGGTTATGGATTTGAGGTGTGAAGAATAGTACAAATCAAGATCAATCCAAAGTAATTCCCTGCTAGATTGTTGATGACTAAACTAAACTGCTCCCTCCATCCCATTTCAGTGTGGATGATGATGGTGTTTAGCAATCCAGTTAGAATTAAAATAAAACTTATCGAAAAGGTGCATGAACTCAATGGCCATCTAACTGAATAAAATCACTGTGAGGAGAAAAACAGGAGGTTGCTACACTATCTTTCCCAAGAATAATCATGGCAATACACAACTCAGAAATATGTTGTGTGAAAGTAATCATCTTTTTTGAAAATGACTCCTTGCCCAGTAGGAGACGGAGAGATACATGTGACAGGTGTCACCTGACTCTGATCAAGTGACTACTTGCAACAAAGATAAAATCATAATCAGGCCGTGGAATGCAAGTAAGTTATAAAATGTAAAGACTGAATATCAACATTCTGGCACTATGTAAGAGAGAGAAAAGAGAGGAAAAAACCAGAAGAGAAAAAAGGAGAGGAAAAAACCAGAAGAGAAAAAAGGAGAGGAAAAAACCAGAAGAGAAAAAAGGAGAGGAAAAAACCAGAAGAGAAAAAAGGAGAGGAAAAAACCAGAAGAGAAAAAAAAGAGGAAAAAAAACCAGAAAAGAAAAAACCAGAGGAAAAAAAAGAAGAAAAAAAGAGAGGAAAAAAACAGAAGAGAAAAAAAGAGAGGAAAAAAACAGAAGAGAAAAAAAGAGAGGAAAAAAACAGAAGAGAAAAAAAAGAGAGGAAAAAAAAGAGAGGAAAAAAAAGAGAGGAAAAAAAAGAAAGAAAAAAAAAGAAAAAAAAAAAGAAAAAAAAGAGAGGAAAAAAACAGAAGAAAAAAGAGGAAAAAAAGAAGAAAAAAAGAGAGGAAAAAAAAAAGAGAGAAAAAAAAACAAGAAAAAAGAGAGGAAAAACAAAAAAAAGAGAGGAGAAAAAAGAAAGAAAGAGAAAAAGAAAAAAGGGGAGAAAAGAAAGGAGAAGTGAGAGAAGAAAAAAGAAAGAAAAGAGAAAAAGAAAGAAAAAGAAAAAAAACAGAAGAGAAAAAAAAAGAGGAAAAAGAGACACGGGGACTTTAATAGTGATGGCTAAAGGATTATATATAAAAGCTTAGAGAGAAATGAAAGAGGAGTTGGACTAATATTAGATGAAGACAACTCTGGGTGTACTGAAAATTGTCAGGCAAAATTCTTCTAGTGAAACTGAGAGGGAAACCATTCAATATACACATTATAGTGGCATATGCATTTATGTCATAAATCAATGAGAAAGAAATAGATAACTCTGACAACACATTAGAAAATGCCAAATATCAGAGCAAGACAAGAAATTATCATCATGTGGGACATAAATTTGGAAGGAGAAAAGAGACAAGATACATTAAGTATTGATTTGGATCACATAACGAAGTTGAAGAGAAATAGGTTCGAAAGTGCACAGCAAATAATTACATAATAATAAACAGTGTGAAAGATGCCCAAAATGCTTATGGATATAGAAAAGCCTGACAGGAGACACTAAAACTGGTGAGACTACTTAACCACCATTTAGAAATAGTTCTAAACTGAAAACATATCAAAGTACTATCCCAATTAGATTCGAACTAAGGGTAAAATGACAAAAACTAAAGGAGACTTAAAGCAACATCAAAACTGCAATACTACAAACTCCATGGGGAATCCATTCACAAACAAACATGCAGTTACTTTTGGAGAATATAAAATATTGAAACAGGTCAGGAACTTAAAGTGGATCGCCTTAAGAGAAGAACTAAGGACAAAAGTAAAAGAAATCATCGTGAGAAAAGAAAAAAAAAGTGGATGAAAAATAAAATTCTTAAACTAACGAAAGAACGTAGTAAATGCCAAGAAATTAGCTCGGAAGATATGAAGTTAAACAAAAACATCAGAAATAACCGTTAGCAAACAAGAGAGGAATAGCTTAATGATAAATGTGCAGAGATTGAAAAACTACAGAACATAGATGCAACAGGCATGCATAAAAAGATAAAAAAAGAAAAAAAGAAATAGCACGATATAAATTGTGCTCTTCAATAGAATGCCTAAAATTATAGCTAAAAATGAAATAGTGTTACAGATATGGGATACATCAGAGAGTTCTTTCATGACAACAGAGAAGACATGGAAGTACCTGTATTAGTAGAATCTAAGGTTAGATCAGCACTCATCAAATGAACAGGAACAAAACAAAAGTACTAAATGAAATTGCAATAGAAATGCTGACAACCTAAGACTATTTGGGAACCAATAAAATTAGTGAAGTGGCTTTAGCAGATCAATCTTCATCGCACTACCAAAGCAGGAATAAACAAATACAAATGCCACGGAGACAGTCAACTTGATGAACTATATGACTAATCATAAGGATTTGAATGAATAGCGCTTGCAACAGAATTAGACCATGAATAAAGCGAGAACACTTTGGTTTTGGTCTAGACACTGGAACAAGAAATGCAATTGTTTATCAGGCAATATAAATTCAGAAACATGCAGAAACATCTATACCAAAGATTCAAAGATTACACAAAGGCATTTTATAGGATATAATATGAAGAGCTTCTTAAAATATTAGGAAAGCTTGAATTTCACAGAAAATATATTTAAGAAAACTGTAACTTATATTGAAAATAAATAGCAGATATATGGATAGAGAATGAGTTTAGTGAATGCACAAAAATCGGAAGGGAATTATAAAAAAAAAAAAATGATTTAACGTGTACAGGGAGATGATTCTAAGAAACCTAGAATACCTACCAGGATCTATTATCAACAGACATAACCTATGTTACATAGATTGCACTGTACTGATGGCAAATTGAGAAAAAATTGAAAGAGCAATTTAACCAAGGTTGTGGAGGAGAGAAAGGACTAATCATTAATTTTAAACAAAGACAGAATGCACGATTGCCAACAAAAAAAGAGACAGCCAAAGTTGTGACTTATGTATCAGAGACCTCAAAATCAAGCAGGTGTGGAAATTTAATTATCTGGGTAGTGTAGAAGTAGACAACAGAAAGTATCATATTATTATTAAAATTACTATGTCCTATCACTAACTGGCAAATAAGAACAATTTCCACGATTCTTGGCAATTTCTAAACGTTCAGTATATGTATTTTCTATCAGAGAGAGATCAAAAATATATTTTGTATGTAAATTAACTCAACAATAGATGTTTATTAGAAGAAACTTAAAACCAGATTACATAACCGAGGAAGGGGTGGCCTTTGAAACACTCAAAACGTTTTTAGGGGCTTTCTCACCCGCTCATATATAATCTATTTCATTTTTAAGTTTGTGTTATTAAATAATAAATAAATAAAAGTGTAAAAGTACGATTTTTGCCATAAAAAGAAGTGAATTTAAAAATAAATAATATTTAGATAGGTTGCTGAATTGGGTTATAATTGAAAGCCCAGCACTATTGTTAAATTGACTAATTATTACTATTAACTTAATACATCCGGAAAATGTTGTAACAGGAAATCGAAAATGTGACACTAAAATAAAGGTGCCTTTCAAAATCTAAGCAAAATATTAAGAAACAAGAAAATTTTGTTAGAAAGAAAGAATGCTGTAGTGTTAAGCAGTGTCAGTCCTCCTATATGGCAGTAAATGCTGGAAATCTCCTCACAAATGAAGAATCGACTTGAGTTACAAAAAATGCAGTTCTATAGAAAGATGCTAAGAATACCAACGACTGAACATGTGAATAAAAAGGAAGTTTTAAGGAAAACATGTACTTAGAATCAGAAAGCTGAAATTCCTGGGACACATAATATGAGGTAAGAAGTTTTGGAGAATCCAACACTCACAGGATATACTGAAAGCAAGAGGAACAGAGGAAAGCAGCAAGTAACCTATATAATAAGCTTGTTGCGTAAATGGATGTCAAAACAGACACTGGGAAGCATGAGGAAAGATATTAAGAGTTACAAAGAATAAGAAGTTATGGTGAGACCTAATAGACTGCGTCCTGAAGGGATATGGTATATAAAAGAAGAAACCACTAAAATAGAAAGTAATAAAATTCAAAATTTAATTCAAAATTAGTCCAAGGCGCAATCACTCCATCCTAGTGAGTATCGTTTGTCCCTCCTGTTAAAAGGGGAAAGTTTTGACCTATAGTGTTTTCCTCCATTGAATTAAGTTAGTAAACAAGGCTTTTCAGGCTGGGTATCCCGTATCTTGGGCTGGTCTATATAACTAACCTAAGAAATACTGCTGATCAAATTTTTTTCCTATTGTTTTCTTATTCAATTTTAAATAACTAACTTTTTTTTTTTCTATTCCCTGGACGTTGCATGGATTTTTCATCATTACTCTGATATGTTTTCTTTGTTTTTTAGACATCCAAAATGTGGAAAAAACATTTGAAGTCAACAATTAATTTTAAAGGGAGAAATTTGTGGCTGAAAGATTTTATTTATCTTATTTTTTAAAACAAGTCTTAATTAGACTTGTTTACTTTTTTAAAATGGAAGATAAAATAAGGTCATTACGTCCACAGCACAAGTACGTTTGGTTGTTTTTGCGTTGTATAAAAATGACAAAAGAAAAAAAATAGGTAAAGAAAATTGTGTGTAGTTAATTAGTTTGTATTTTGTGTGGATCATTGGATAAGGAAGGTGTGGGCGGACAATATTGGTCACCCAAGAAAACAAATGGATTTGAATAGAAGAGAATTTGTAAGCTATTAATAGCCTTTTCTTATTTTTAAGACGGAAAATCATAAGTTACAAAAAGTGCAGAGAAAAAATGATTAAGTAAGACAAGAATAAAAATGACGATGTTATTTTATTTGTATTTTTTTTTTTATTTCTTCCAGTTAGTCTAAAATCAGTGATTTCACTTAGAAAGTATTAGGGGAGTGTGATAGATGTCATTTCTTCAGTAATATTGAAACTGAAGAGAAAACTTTATCAGTATTCAATAAAAACAAAGTTTTGTCATTAAAATGTTTATGTTATTAAGAGGAAAGACCAAAGTATTTTTTATTATTTACGAAATTTTTTACTCTTTTGTAGCACGTTGTAAATTTTGGTGAATTTTTTTTTTTTTTACGTCAGTGGCGGACCAAAGATAAAGGTTTTTTGCTTTTTTTCCCCGTTTTTTCCAGTGAAAAACACATTGATTTGGAAATTCTTGCAAAATTCAAATAAAATTGTCAGATTTTAATGAAACATTAAGGGCATATTTAGAAATGAATGAAATTATTTTTAAAATTTTTTATTTTATTTTAGAAAATCTTTGTAAAAAAATGTTATTCTATTTTTTATTTTACATAGGTTACCACCCACTTACTTAATTTCATGAAATTTCGACAAATTAAATTTTTAAGGTGGGGGGATTTTTTATTAATTAAAAACAGGACTCTTTGGAGAAAGTAAATCAATTTTTTTTTTTTTTTTTTGTAAAACAGTTACCCGTTTCATCGAAAATTTGCTCTTAATTGTAAAATAAAAAATGCAATAAAACTATGACATTATTATTTAATTAGAAAAGATTTTAATTGCTTTTGTAAATAAGTTAATAAAGGACACTATTGTCTGAAGAAATAAAAATTTTCGATGAATAATGAATTTTTACAAGAATATTTTCATTTTTTAAAAATTTTTATTAAATAGTTCAAAAATCGTTTAAACTTCTTCATTACTTTCAAGATAGCAGTTTGGTGATATCGTTAAGTGAAAAGTACATTTACGAATCAAAATTTGAAAAGCTCATAACAGTCGTTTGTACCCCAAATATTTAAAAAAAAAAAAAAAAAAAAAAATTAAAAAGAATTTAGTGAAAAAAACGTTCCTAATTTCTACATATGGGAATCTATACATGACAATCCTTAAAAAGGTCAAGTGATTTGTGTCGTCTGACGCACTGCAATTATTTCACTTTTTTAATTCAGTTGTTTCAATGTTTCATCATTAACGTCTTTGCAAATCATCCCTTCAAAATATCAAAAATGTTTTACTTTTGTTTATTGCTATTCCACTAAATATTTTTATTTTATGTATTTATTTTAGTTTGGATCATGCTTCAATCAATTTTTTGTTTAGGGTAGTAAAACTTAAGAACCTAGAGACGAAATGCAAACTCCATAAAGCTTCTTGAAACTTAACTAAAAGTCAATAAAATATCAAATAATTGCTGAAAATATGTTAATTTGTAAAAATTACTAGGTAGTTAAAAACCTAAAAAAAAAAAAAAAAATGCGTTCACTTAGATTTCGTAAATTTATGTCATTTCTGGTCATCCATAAGAACTGTCACCACGTCGAGAGTTTATCGATGGCAATAAAGATAAAAGAAAGAGAAGACCCATCGTTAAGAAATGCTTGTATATTGGATTTTTTTCATTGCAAATCAGAATTTAACTTTAAATTTTTTAATTTTACTCACATAACGTGTTACAAGTCTATAATTTAATTTTGAAAGATTTTTTTTAAAACCGATAAATTTGTTTGTTTACAAATTTCTTAAAATTAAGAAAATGGCCACTTTTAAAAAAAATTTAAAGAAAATTTGAGCAGTTATTTGACATTCCAATCTATATATTTCTTTCTGAAATACACCAGAATATTTTACTTACTGGAAATAATAAATTTAATCATTTAGCTTTCAATTAAAACTAAAAAGAAATCTTCAAGAATGCTTTTACATTTAAAATTTAATTTTCAACCTTAGGTTATCGAAAATTCATGACTGTTGCTAGCAATCATGAAAGAGAAAGTAGATTAAAAGTAAAACTTTGGTAAAAATAAGATTTACTATTGATTTTTTATATATTGATTAAGAAAACCAACTCATTCACACTATCATTATGACTTTTTTGTTTATAATTGGTTCGTTCTTTCTGTGGGTTCATCTTTGCCATATTGCAACATGATACATTTACGAATGAAATCATATTAAAATTTGAATAAAATTTCTTTATGAACAACTTGAGATCGAGATATGTTTTTAATTTTGTCACTTTGTGTTGTGACATTTTATCAATCTTTCGTCAGTTGCTCCAGGACTATGACTGTGTATCGGATAGTGGGCTGTGAAAGCCCTCATCACTATCCAATTCACTTTCAGCTCGTCTGTTTTGAAGTTGTCTAGTTTCTGTTAGACATTTATTTTACAAAATCCTATTTACAGGTAAGATCTTTCCCAGTCGCCCCCATATAAAAGCGTATGCAGATGCTATATTCACACCGCTGGTATTATGGATAGGAGAACATCTGTGTCAGCGTACGCAATCAAGAAATTGAGATGTGTGGGGTAAGAAGTAGTCCTCTAAAAATAACATTTGTTAATTTAGGCATTTTATATCGGCTATCAAAGGTCATAATTATTTTTTTTTAAATAATGAATCAAAATAATGCTTGTTTTTTTTTCGTTTTAATGGGAATTTAACCTAGCAAACTGAAACGCGATTTAATGATCGTATCGAGAAAATGTTATTTGGAAGTTCCTTTCAAATACGAACAAAAAATAAAATAAAGCTCCTTTGGTTTCATTTGAAAAAAGATCATACGTTTATTGTTTGAAGCATTGGGAATCTTCTCTCAATAATTCACATAACGTCTACAATACATACTTCCCACACTTGCTTGCTGACTTCCTGGGCAACAACAACACATCGAGAATAATTATTACTAGGTGAGTGAGAGATCATTTAGCTTTACCAATTTGGGGAGTTTAGGTGATCATTATTGTGCTAATCTTTCCTTTCTCAGGTGGAAGGTCGGGGACAGATTTTGGGGCTATTGTTGCGCTAACAATACCCTTTTTTTTAAAAAAAAACATTACAAAAAGGGTTGGGCATCTGTCTCTTACCTTTTTGTTCTTGCTACACTGCAAGCCTTTCTCCTCTTACAAGACAAGCGTTCGTTATTGTTTTCAATCAGCTGACGAGAAACGCGTGGCATGCTGACCGGGAAATCTTTTTAACTTTTTCCTTCCCGCTCTCCCTTTATTTTTTTTTATTAATTTAAAAAATTATATCCATTTATTTAACTTTCCAAAGTCTTTCTGGGAGTTTGAGAACTTCTTTAAACGTTCAAGCAATATAAGCAATATTTTTTTAATTCTTTATATTTTCTATACAAATGTTTTTTTGTATTATTATTATTAATAATCATGGCACATACAGTACTTCCACGATTATCTGTACTGTATCTCGAGAAAACTAGAGTTGATCATTTATCAATTAACCGAACTAAACCAATCATTTTATTATTTCATCTCTCCGGCAAATGTTTTAAGAATTTAGACAGCCATTTTCAACTTTTGATAAAAGCGCTGATAAAATCTGTTTTAATTTCCTCGGAAAATATTTAAAGAGGAGGATCATATCGCCATGTTCAAACAGCGAAGCAATGATTATGTTTGACGAATATTTAAGTTAGTTGGGCTTTCAGATAGAAGCTACCTTTACAGATACATCTACTAATCATCTATTCTAATCCAATTTCGTTAGTTTATCTTCAAAAATTGGCTAAAAATTAGCCATGTATCATAAAAAACGTCATACAGCTTAAAACAAAGTTTTATCGTCAACATCTTTATATTGCTAAATAGGACTTTTTGATTAAATCATTTTTTTAATCTTTTTCAGAACCATCGAAAGGTTAAAATTTGTTTAAAAAAGCTTTGTTTTTCTTACATCAACGGGTGACCATAAATTAATATGGGAGATTTTTAGAGTCCTTTTTGGTGGAAAACACATGGATTTGGAAATTCTTGCAAAAATCAAATTGTCGGAAACTTTCAGGAGTTATTCAGAAATGAATGGAAGTATTTTTAGAAAACTTTGGTTAAAAAATCTTGGTAAAATTTTTTTTTTTTTTTTACATGTTATCCTCCACTTATTTAATTTAAACTTACTTTTGTAGAGCCTAACGTTTATATTAGTAGTTATAAGGACAAGTCCTCGGAGAATTTAAATTATCAATTTTTTTGTCAAGTAGATTCCCAGTTACCGAAAATCATAAAATAAAAAAGCAACAAAAAACTAAGACATTATTTAATTATAAAAGCTTTTAATTGCTTTTACGAATAAGATGGACACTATTGTTTTAATTTTTTTTTTCAAAAATGCCAAACATCAAGTTATCAATAAATGTGCTTACACCCAAAAACACAGTGTTAAAATTAAAAATGATTTACTGCAATATTTCAAACTAAGTGCAAGTAACACTTGTTTTCATTCAGATTAATTAAAACTTTAAATCAATTAATGTTACTCAATGTTTCAGAAAAGTATATTTTATTTTTTTAAAGATTTGTTTAATAAAAGGATTTTTGTGTTGACAGATTTGTCAATATAGCCGTTTTTGGTGATTTTCAAAGAACAAAAATAATTCCAATTAATTTAAATACGCTTTGAAATACATCAAAATATTTTGTTTATTGGAATTATGTAACACGATGTACTAGTAAAATGCATACATTAACAGCCGATAACGTTTTTTATAATCGAATCCACACCAACCAAGGTAGTAAAGCCACAATGGGTTACTGGGTGTAAAAGAATTAAAAAACAAAAACATTATTAAGGGGGCGAGAAAAGTAATCAGAAAGACAGTAGTTAACGATTGACATGACATTTAAAGTTTGGAAGATTAAAATTGGTAGAAAGCATGAAGTCATACTAATAACAGACGGAAAAAGTGTAGATAACCCTTTTCCAATTGCAGAAGAATTAAAAACTGAAGGTGTGAAAATATTTGCCATCGAAGCAAAGCAGGTTAACAACAAAGGTGAATTGCGTTTAATCGCGAATAAACCGTCCTATCGTTTTCTTCTCAAACTAAATGCCCGGAATGTTGGAGATGCCATTGCTAAAACAATATCAAAGATTGGTTGCAATTTTAAGTAACAACTTGATGTGTTTTGCAATTTCAGTTATCAGATTTTGCGAATCACTGATTAGTCTTTGTTTTGTTTTTTTTTTTTTTTTTAATTCATGTGAACAATTTTTAATTGTATTTACCCCAAGTGAGTTAATAAAGCCACTAAGACACAAGGTGTTATTAGGCGTGAAAGAACTAGAAAGCATAAACATTATTAAGGATCGAGAGCAATAGAAGAGTAACAAGGAAAACACTAGATAATGATTGATATTGCAATTAAATTTTTGAAGATTAAAGTTAACTGGAATGCATGGAGCCGGAAGGGAGTTCCACAAGCGAGAAGTACCAGAAAGGAAAATGTTAGCATAGAACTTACGATTAAATCTTGCCAATTTAACTGTAAATTGATGAGACTTTTTTGCCAATCTAGTACTGCACTTAAATTAATAAAGTCTAGGTATTATAGTGAAGAGCTCATCCAAACAATTACCATGAATGTATTTATTAAAAAAAAGCACAGAGAAGCAACTTTACAGCGGTGGAAAAAGTGACTGAAGTCGAGATATCAGGTCAGTACCAATAATATTGCTGATTCTTTTGGGGATTTTATTCTCTAAATATAGAACAGGAGCACTGGACCATATGTGACAGCAATATTCTAAGTATAAATGAATGGTAGACATAAATACGCAAGATAGATTCTGGAGAGAAAATGCCAGACCCTGTCGAACGCTTTCGAGATGTCTAAAGCAACAGCCCGAGCTTCACCAATCTTATCTAAAGCTTGATAGACCCTTTCCGTAAAAATCGTTAATATATCAGCAGTTCTAGAAAAATGAAAGCCATATTGCTTGTCTGAAAAAAGGCCCTGCGCTGTGAGATGCTTAACTAATTCAGCGTTAATTACCAAATAGACAGGAGGCTAATAGGCCGATAGTTGGAAGGGTCGGGTGGTTCACATGAGTCCTTAAAAACTGGAACAACAAATGAAGATTTCCAACATACAGGAAAACAAGAGGCAACGAGGCATTTATTATACAGTTTAGAGAGAACAAGATCCAGTCCAGGAGCACATTTCTATATAGCAGAAACTATAAAGGGATTATATGCATATCACTCAACAGAGACTCAGTCCTAAGTGGAAAGTCAAGCAATGATTTTCCAGATGAGTCAAAAGTAGAGTTTAAAGAGAATTGACGGACGAAACATTCTTCTTTATCAACAGAAGATGTCAACACCTCAAATGGATTGAAGAGAAGAGGAATAGAAAACTTACTCTTATTTAATACACTCTGACAGAGCCACCAGTTGTCATGAGAAACAAAGTTGTTAAAATGAGGCACCGTATTGCATCTATCAGCAAACAAAGACTTAGCTGCTTTGGGGACACACTTACATATATTACGTGCATCCACGAATAGGCGTCTGTTGTGATAGGAACGGTGTCACGCTGGTATAGCCGGAAAACTTATTCCCGTGGGCTATAGCGGCAGAACAAGCTGGAGTGAACCATGAGGAAGACTGAGGTTGCACTTGGTATTTCCGAAAAGGAACAAAAGTATTTATGCTGGCTTCGACCTAAAAAGAAACCTCACTCGAACATTTCTCAAGAGGAAGGTTAAAAATATCAATCCAAGAGGCATCTCAAAGAAAGTCACGAAGTGAATCCCAATCAGCATGCTAGTAACGGAAACAGGTCTGATGAATAGGAGGTTCATGTCTAAGATGATTGGAACGAAATATCAATAGATACTACAGCGTGATCAGAGTTGTCACTCAATTTTCATTTTGTTTCAGATTTAACCCATTAGAAATAAATAATAATGGCAGCTATACCTGCAATTCGACGCACATTGTATCGAACCACCCTCATTTCCTTCGTAGAGATGTAAGTTCGATTTGATCATCATCTTCCCACGAACCACTGCTTTGTGGAACCGACTAAGAGGATGCTTTCCCGATCTCCACAATCTTAACCTGTTCAAGTCTAAGGTTAACCATTATCTTCCCCACGTATCTCCGTAAGCTGTGCCACTTACTCTGTAATTCTCTGCTTCAAGTGGTTCTTTGGTCTTGTACAATGTGACCATTATTGTACAAAAAATAGGTTAAGCTTTGAACAAAGGAAATTTATCCAAAATTTCTATTGAAAGTTTCAAAACGCAGTTGGAGCATATTTTTTGTTTGTTTAACGGCATTTCAACTGCATATGGGTCATTTAGTGCTGAAATTTTATTTTCCTGGGAGCATGAGCAATTTCGTTTACAAAAATGTATCACTGGTAATAATAGTTTTGTTTATTTTCAAAAATGTATTAGTGGTAATTTTTTTTTTTTTTTGACTACGAAAATATATTGCTGGTATTTTACTATAAAAATGTATTTTTATACTTTCATAGTGTTTTGACCCCAGTTTGGCGGTTAACTGATTGTCCGTAGCTGGGATCCTAACAGGTGTTACCACACCGAATAGGGTGGACCTGGGAACAACAGCAATTAAGAAGTGGTTTCACGCTCCTCAAAACATCCCGTTCCACGCTCATCTCAAACATCAGAGGCCTTGCTGCCGGATGCAGTTTATCGTCATACCCAAGTACAGTTCAGATCAGAAAACAGATCCAGCTATGCGACATACCATCATTCAAATTAGAGATCGGCACTGTTCAGAATATCTACATGAAGCATTCCAGAAAACCACGGTCACCAACGAGCACCCCAACCCAAAGTCAGTCAGTCAGTCAGTTATGTGCCATGCGTAATATACGCTTAGACGATCATGTATCTTTCGATAAATGACTGACGAGGCAGATTTTTCCCGCAGTAGTTTGCCATTTCTTTCTGCAGTAGACTACTTGCCATCCAAGGCTGCAGAACCCAGTCTGTACTGCTATTTACTCATAGCTGGGGGGGGGGAGAAGATGATTCATATCTTTCCCAAGGGTATTAGCACGTAAGTGAATATAATGGATTCGACTGAAGTTCGAACTCGGCTCTCCGATTCCTCAATCGGAGCCGTAATCCATTACTCGACCAAACAGAAAGTGCTAAAAATGTATCGCCAGAGTTCAAGATGAT